TAGCTTGAAAGTTTTATCTCTGAAGATTAGTGGACAACAGTAGCCAATCTAAATATATTTGCATAGTTCTAAAACTTTAAAAATTACTTGACATTAATTGCTGGTCAGGTTTATTTTTTATTTTTTATTTAAAAAAATTTTTTTCCATAAATTACTGGGGTACAGGTGGTATTTGATTACATTAAGTTCTTTAGTGGTGATTTGTGAGATTTTTGTTGCCCTCATCACCCAAGCACTATATGCTGCACTCTATTTGTCTTTTATCCTTCACTACCCCCACCTTCTGCCCAAGTCCCCAGAGTACATTGTATCATTCTTATGCCTTTGCATCCTCATAGCTTAGCTCCCACGTATCAGTGAGAAGACATGATGTTCAGTTTTCCATTCCTGAGTTACTTTACTTAGAATAATAGTCTCCAATCTCATACAGATCACTGCAAATGCCCCAATTCATTCCTCTTTATAGCTGAACAGTATTCCATTGTATGTGTATATATATATGTATGTATATACGTATATATACGTATGTATACATATATACATGTATATGTATACATATAAATACGTATATATACGTATATACATATATACATATATATATCAGTTTGTTTATCCATTTGTTGATTGATGAGCATTTGGGTTGGTTTCACGATTTTGCAATTGTGAATGATGCTACTATAAACATGCGTTTGCAAGTTTTTTTTTTTTTTTTTTTTTGGTATAATGTATAATGATAATACCTGTAATCCCCGCATTTTGGAAGGCCAATGCGGGCAGATCACTTGAGGCCAGGAGTTCAAGACCAGCCTGGCCAACATTTTGAAACTCCTTCTTCACTAAAAAGACAAAAAAATTAGCCAGGTGTGGCGTGGCGGCACGCACTTGTAGTCCCAGCTACTCAGGGGACTGAGGCAGGAGAATCACTTGAACCCAAGAGGCGGAGGTTGCAGCGAGCTGAGATCACGCCACTGCACTCCAGCTCTGGGTGACAGAGTGAGACTCTGTCTCCAAAAAAAAAAAAAAAAAAAAATAGTCTATAACTGAAATCCAATTCGCAGCCTTAATCTATTAAGTAAGAATTGAACATAAGTTTGATCTGGAGCCTGTACTCATAACCATATTGCTATGTGAAAAATGTAGTTCTAGTGTTCTCCTCTGAACTTAGGAGGAGATGTCATGCAATTCTTTGTTCTTCACATAAGGCATCAATGTTGCACGAATGATACCCGTCTTTGAACATCTTAAGCCCAGCTTGCTTTGCCTTGGAGCATATGCTTGCTTTACCTACGTGCTTGCTTCCACTGTCCTAGTAGTCCCTGTTAGTGCTGACCACTTTTCCCTAAGTGATTTTCTTTCTGGTCTGCTTTAGCCAACATATGAGAATCACCCTGAGGAGTTTGTTAAAATGCAGACTTTCAGGCCCAGTCCCTGGGACTTTGACTGAATGTCTGCCACTTGCCATGGAATCTATATTATAAAGCTCAACCAACAAGGTTGTAAGGCAGGGATCTGAAATATAAGGAATGCTGCCTGGGTGATGAGGTACACATACTCTGTCTCAGGTTCACGGAGGGAGGGTAAGAATTCGGGGCTTGTGTGGTTTGGGTGTGAGGGGAGGCAGATGTATTATTCTATGTGCTTCTGCATGTTAGGATCTCAGGTTTATACAAGTGCAGTGGTCCTGAAAGAAAACAGACAAACATACAAAATGTTCCCCTTGAATAAAAACATGTCAATTGTTATTAATAATTGATATTTACTTTTTTTCATTAACAGTATGGTGGGACAATTTATTAATGTATCGTTTTGCTGTAGTTGTTTTCCTTCCCCATTTTTTTCTTTCTTTTTTGAGACAGTCTCACTCTGTCACCCAGGCTGGAGTGCAGTGGCGCAATCTCAGCTCACTGCTATCTCCACCATCTCCCTGGTTCAATAGATTCTCGTGCCTCAGTCTCCCGAGTAGCTGGGATTATAGGCATGTGCCACCATGCTTGGCTACTGTTTTGTCTTTTCAGCAGAGATGGGGTCAGGCTGGTCTAGAACTCCTGACTTCAAGTGATCTGCCTGCCTCAGCCTCCCAAAGTGCTGAGATTACAGGCATGAGTCATTGCGCCCAGTCCCTTCCCGTATTTCAGTTAGGTAACCAGACCCTCTGTGATCCCTGGACTCAAGGTACTTGAAGGACTGGCATAGAAACTGCTTACAATCGTTGGCGAAAGCCTAAACTCACTGAACAGAACTGTGATGTGTCTTTGAGGAGGGAGAGGCAAGAGATGACTATGTGGTGTGAGTGAGAGAGCAGAGGTTGAGAGGGGACATTCTTAAGTATGGAGAAGTGACAGTGATGGGGCCCTGCTCCCTCGAAAGATGGTATCATGGGGCCCTCAGGGAGGTGGGAGCCCATCTCTGCAATGAGGCCTGGGCCCTGCCTGTATTCGAGTATTGCATGAAAATGCACATTCGTAGGCCCATTCAGACTTGCATAGGGAGCCATCTGACAATTAGAGACTACTTACCACAATGATCCTGCCTTCCTGGAATTTACACTCTACTTAGTCAGATTGTAGTGTGGTCCTAGGGAGTGCCAGGAAGCCCCAAACATAATGGGGTGAAATTTTCCAACAAACAGCCTGGAAAGATGGAGATTTAAGTTAGTTGAAGAAAATAAAGAAATGCTCTATGTCTTGCGTACTTGAGTCTGCGTTAACAAATTCTTGCCTGCTACCATAGTAATGGTTGCCATTTTTCCCCTAATGTTTACTATGTGCCAGTCACCATAATAGATGTTATATTTCCTTCAATACTGTTAAGAAGGACTCTGTTGAGTCATGTTATTCATAATGAGTCCATCTGCTAGGCTGTCTGCCTAACTATGCATCAGAAGGTAGTGTGCAAATTCAAACTGACCTGTATTCTTAAACAGATGAATTAATGAATAGAATGCACCTTGTGAGTCCATGTAGCTCCTCTTCCCCTGCCAAGCCTTACATACTGTTGTTTCTCCCAAAGTTCTTTTTGATTTTATTTTATTTTTTGAGACAGGGTCTCATTTTGTTGCCCAGGCTGGAGTGAAGTGGTGCAAACACTGCTCACTGCAACCTCGGCCTCACTGGCTCAACTGATCTTCCTGCTTCAGCACCCCCCACTACCCCCCAAGCAGCTGTAACTACAGGCGAATGCTATCACACCTGGCTAATTTTTGTATTTTTTGTAGAGATGGGGTTTTGCCATGTCACCCAGGCTGGTTTCGAACTCCTGGTCTCAAGCAATCCACCTGCCTTGGCCTCTCAAAGTGCTGGGATTACAAGTGTGAGCCACCATGTCTGTTGAGAGTTCTATTTTTAGCTCTTTTTTCTTTTCATATCACTCTCTTCCTGAGGGCAGTCATTCCCATGGCTTTAAATATTATCTAAATGCAAATGAGTGCCAACTGGTATGTCCAGTGGCCCGTAAGAAATTCACAGGCAACACTTTAAAACTGGAGCTCATTTTCTTCCTAAACCTGCTCCTGCCATAGTCCCTATTTCAGGGAGCAGTCCCTGCATTCATCCAGGCACAAAAGTCTGAAACTTGGAAGTCATTTTGACTCCTCTTTATGCAGATATTATAAGTTATTGCCTTAACATTTTATCTGACTCTTACTCTCCACTTCCATTACCATAATCTTTGTTCAAGTTCTTATCTTTTGTTTGAACTATTATTGAAGTTTTTTTTTTTTTTTTTTTTTTTTTAAAGGGAGTCTTGCTCAATCTCAGCTCACTGCAACCTCCACTTCTTGGGTTCAAGTGATTCTCCCATCTCAGCCTCCCGAATAGCTGGGATTACAGGCATGTGCCACCACACCGGGTGAATTTTTGTATTTTTTGTAGAGATGGAATTTCACCATGCTGGTCTGCATTCTCAAGTGATCTGACCACCTGGGCCTCCTAGAGTGTTGGGATTACAGGTGTGAGCCACTGAGCCTGGCCTGCTAAAGTCTTTAAATGGCCTCCCCATCTCCAAACTCTATCTCCAGATTAGTGTTGCAGGACTTTTAAAAATAAAACCTGGGTCATTTAATTTCTCACATTAGAAAACTTCCACCCTTTTTCATTGTTTACAGTAGAAATCCAATTCTCTTAGTATGGTATATAAGACTCATCACGAGCTAGCCCCAGCACAACACTCTAGTCTCCCCACCCAATATCCTTTCACCATATCCCTTCCATTTGGCCAGGCTGAGTCCTGGCAGCCACCATCCCCTATGGATCATGCTGGTCTCCCAAGTTGCTCATGTTATTCTTGCTCTTACAAAGACCTCCATCTTCTTGTCTACTTAAAGAAAACCTACTCATCTGTGCACCATCACCGTAAAGACTACCTCTTACCTGCAGCCTTTTCTGCAATTCCCCTACCTCTGGCACTGACAGTCACCTTTTAAAAATACCCCATGTCTATTTCTCATAGCCTCTACAGTATTTTGATTACACTTAACTAATTATATGGCTTCTCTTTAGTAGACTCTAATCTCTTGAGGCCATGGACCATATCCTATGATTTTGAATCCCAAATGCCTAATACTGTGCTTGATATATGGTTAAGTTGATTATATGACTTGGTTTGTGCCTGTTGACCTGGCTTAATAATTACACCCTCTTTACTCTCAAAAGTATCTTGGCTTGGTAGATGAATTATATATGGTCATTTTCCACATAGTACATGCCTAGCAATGAATGAATGAGCACCAGCATCTGACTACCTATTACCATACAATATATACATATATAGTGATACTTTTAAAAAAATTAGTTGTTTATGATGATGTGCTGCTCTTTTTCTTAGCTTCATTAGAACTGGCCAGCTCCTCTTTCTCACTTGCCAAACATGGGGGGTTAGTTTGGAGTTGGCATCTCATCTTCTCCAGTTATAGTGTGGAAGTAGCCCAGTAGCCCACGCTCTTGTTCCGAAATACCGCACTGACTCCACGGACTTAAGTTATCATTGCTTCCAATTTCCTTGGGTAACGCAGCACGCAATTGCCTTTTGGACGCGCTGCGTGGATTCAGAGCGGCTACAACTTAGTAATCATCAGGAAAAGTTCCTGATGCCAGTCCTCCAAACGCTCAATGAATTAATAAAAACCAGACAGCCGTACAGACGCGGCTGAGATGCAACGACAAAGGTTGTCGTAATTACTAATAATACCTAACCCTAGATCACTCCCCTGATAGATACGGATGTTTGCAGCAGGCGCAATTCAGTTTCGTTTCAACCAAAACAAAAATGGTCTCCGTCGGAGTCAACGGCTTTTCCCGTGCGGACCAATCAGAATCTCGAATACGGAGCACGGGGCCCGCACTTCCGCCCGGTCTTCCTGGTGTGTCCAACGGCGCCAGTGCGTCTCCGACTCGGACCGGCTTCCGCGGCCGGGGCGGCGAGGGCCGGGGGCGGCGGGCGGGATGAACGCGGTGTGCGGCGGAGCGGCGCGGACGCTGCGGGTGGCAGGCCGTCACGGCTACGCCGCCGAGTTCTCCCCGTACCTGCCGGGCCGCCTGGCCTGCGCCGCCGCGCAGCACTACGGCATCGCGGGTGAGGCGGGGCCGCGCCGCCTGGGCGGGGGCGGAGGTGGGCGCCAGCGGGCTCCAACTCCTAGTGCTCGAGGGAAAGCGCCTCCGAGCGTAGACGGTGCCGCGGGTCGGCGCCAGGGGGCAGAAGAGGTACTGACCGGCGCCGCTCCCTCCTTTGTGGAGAGCGGGAGTCGTTCTGGAGCGGGAGTCGATCCTCTTTTCCAGTTGCGTGCAAACGCATATAGGTGTAGCCTGCTAGCTCGTGTTCTTGTTCCCTGAGACTCCGCTGCCTCCGCCACCTGTCACACGCCCAGGCGCATGTCCCCGTGCGGAGAGCCGGGGGAGCCTGCGTGGCCCTTCCGATCGGTCTGCCCGGCACAGCCGTACCGGGAGGAGGGTCCGAACCAGAACCGCTCCAGGGCTCGTGAGTCGGCCCACATTTCCTAGTAGGCATTCGATCACCGAGCCGCGACCTGCGGGCTGGTCTTCCTAAGGAGGATGCTCTTAAGCGGATGCCTGGAGTCCTCCAGGTGACACCGTGAAATGTATCAAGTTCAGTCCTCACCGGTAGTTGTTCACGAGGGGTGCACACATTCGCAAGTAGATGTTAGAGACTCCAGTTAATTGTCTCGACCTGTGGTTATAGCTGCTCAGGAGGCTGAGGCGGGAGGATCGCTTGAGCCCGGAATGTTGAGGCTACAGTGAGCTGAGATCTCATCACTCCACTCCAGCCTGGGTGACAGACTGAGACCCTGTCTTAAGAAAAGAAAAGAAAAGAAAAAAATAGTTAATCATCTCTGGCCATGAACTAGATGAAAAGGCGCGGGTTCATTCTCGGTTTTGCCATAATTCATGCCCCAGCTATTATATGCACCGAAGCGAGATGCAACAACTCCTTACATAATGCCAGTGGTCTACCGTATTTTTTGTTTTGTCCTACAGCAGAAAAAAAGTTACTTCTAAAAGTCAAAGAAATACTTGATTTATTTTCATTATTAGCTCTTAGTGCGTGCACGTTCGGATTTACATGGCCCACCGGTTAGATTGAAGACTCATGAGTCTATAATGGTAGGAATTTTCTTTTTTATCTTTTATCTTTTTCTTTTTAGAGACAGGGTCTCACTCTGTTGCCCAAATTGAGTAGAATGGTGCAGGCGTGGCTCACTGCAGCCTCAACCTCCTGGGCTCAAATGATCCTCCTGTCTCAACCTCCCCTGTAGCTGGGAGCACCGGCAGGTACCACCACACCTGGCTAATTTGTAGTTTTTTTGTAGAGATGGTATTATTGTGTTGCCCAGGCTGGTCCTGAACTCATGGGTGCAAGCGATCCTCCTGCCTTGGCTTCCCAAAGTGCTGGGATTACAGGCTGGAGCCACTGTGACTGGCCTGTAATCCTACTTTAAATCTTATGCAAAAACTCTTTAAAAGGAGTTTGTATTGGCCAGGTGCGGTGGCTCACGCCTGTAGTCCCACCACTTTGGGAGGCTGAGGTGGGCGGATCACGAGGTCAGGAGTTCGAGACCAGCCTGGCCAACATGGTGAAACCCCATCTCTACTAGAAATACAAAAATTAGCCTGGCGCAGTGGCACGTGCCTGTAATCCCAGCTGCTCGGAGAATCGCTTGAGCCCCGGAGGCGGAAGTTGCAGTGAGCCGAGATCATGCCATTGCAGTCTGGCCTGGGCAACAGAGCAAGAGTCTCTGTCTTAAAAATATATATGTGTGTGTGTGTGTGATATATATATAAATAGAAGCGATTTCCCCCCTTGGTCTTTATACAATTAAATATTACTTTTAAAATACAATGGCCCTTTTGTAAAATAATCTTTGATAGGTAACATGTTAACACCATTTTCAGGACTTTATTACCACCAGTTGTGCTAAATCCCACCAGGTATCTCCCCATTCATATTTTGTTTTAAAATCCTGTGTTAGATGTATTTTAAATTTATTGGTGAGGCAAGGCGATTTAGCAGGAGGAGCACAGTCCCTGGGGTTTGTAAGCTGGAGGTTTCTTATCTGTCAGTAGGGATGATAACACCAACTTGGAAGGTTTGTATCCCTGATGCCTTGTCTGGCTACAGAGTAGGCCCCTAAGTATTTCGCCCCCCTGTCAGATCCATGTCTGGATTCCAACCATAAGTGCAATGGGAAGTTGAATATTTATTAATTGAAGTATAATACATAAAAATGGAAATAGAGAACACATTTGGTATTCATGTCCCAAAAAGTTTAGGGAGAAATTGATCACCTGACCATTTGGCATTCAAGGTCCCAAAAACTTGAGGGAGAAATTTGTGATATTAAAATCAGGTACCAATTACTTGGTAACTCCTTGACTTTTGATGTTACCCTGGCAGGTTCAAAGGCATGACCTTGATTTTTTTTCCTCTTTAGGCTGTGGAACCCTACTAATATTGGATCCAAATGAATCTGGGCTAAGGCTTTTTAGAAGGTAAAGTGGCTCTAATTATTAAAGGTATATATTGTTGCTATTAAAGCCTTAATAGAATGAGGTTTTGACTCTTTATTCAGGATTTCAATTTACAATATAAAAGGAACCTTGGTGTTTGCATAGGATGAAGTTTATTTTTAGCTGGTTGTGGTGGTGTACACCTGTAGTCCCAGCTATTTCCAAGTCTAAGGCAGAAGGATCACTCAAGGCCAGGAGTTCAAGACCAGCCTGGTGGGCAACATAGCAAGACAAAATTTTTTTTTTTTTTTGATACAGAGTTTGGCTCTGTCACCCATGTTGGAGTACAGTGGCATGATCTTGGCTCACTGCAGTCTCTGCCTCCTGGGTTCAAGTGATTCTCCTGCCGAAGCCTCCTAAGTAACTTGGATTACATACAGGTGCCTGCCACCATGCCTGGCTAATTTTTGTAGTTTTTAGTAGAGACAGAGTTTTTCCATTTTGGCCAGGCTGGTCTGGAACTCCTGACCTCAGGTGATCTGCCTGCCTTGGCCTCCCAAAGTGCTGGTATTACATGCATGAGCCACCTGGCCTGGCCTAATTTTTTTTTTTTTTAAATTAGCTGTGCCCCACTGGTGTACCTCTGTAGTCTCAGCTACTTGGGAGGCTGAGGTGGGAGGATTGCTTGAGTCCAGTTCAAGGCTACAATGAACTCTCATTGGGCCACTACACTCCAGCCTGGGTGACAGAGCAAGACTCCTTCTCTTAAATAAAAAACAAAACAAAACAAATCTGAAGCCTATCTCTTAGTGTCCACTCATAAATTATAAAACTTAAAACATAAAAAATGTGGAGTAGTATACTTTGTAGCATTACATTTTTGGACTATGGCATTCCACTGGACTCTTTTTTTTTTTTTTAACCTTTCTGAATCTGTTGCCGTATTTGTCAAGTACCTGCTCTACTTAACTCCCATAGTTGTGAAGATTACATGAGATATATGTATTAAAATATGTGATAAATATTAAGGAAAAAAGCCATAATTGTAATTGCTTGTGTGTGTGTGTGTGTGTGTGTAGCTGCCTATATAAGTGTTGTTTGTTTGTTTTTTCCTGGTGTAGCTTTGACTGGAGTGATGGTTTGTTCGATGTGACCTGGAGTGAGAACAATGAACATGTCCTCATCACCTGCAGTGGTGACGGTTCGCTACAGCTCTGGGACACAGCCAAAGCTGCGGGGCCGCTGCAGGTCTATAAGGAACACACTCAGGAGGTAGGTGGGGAATCTTTCTGGGCTGATTATTTTTCTTTCTTCGACTTTGGTTGAAATCCATCTGGGGATGCACACATGGAGCAATGTCTCCCGGGGACAAGTTTAAACTTTAGTATTTCTTAGACACACTAGATGTCACTTATTATTTGATTATTCAAACATAAAGTACCTCTTGGCGTAAGGAGCTGAGAAAGAAAAGAAAAGGTCAATCTTCTCATAAGGAAGGAAAAAACGCCTCCAGCAGTGTACTCTGGCATCATTTCCTCCCGAGAGGCCCATCACTTTCTTTGTGCTCTAAGAATGTGCTTGCCACAGGGTCCTTTAAGATAGAGGTAGGTGGACTTTTCACACAGACATCACAAGATTGCCTTTGGGGCTTCAGTGAGATTCTTGAGGAGTTTCAGAATGTATTGGAGCAAGAGCATAAAATACTGAGTATGAGGCAGAACTTTGATCATTTATATTTAAATCTGGTTCGTGTGTCTAGATGTTGTGTGTGTGTATGTATAGCATAGAAAATAGTTTGGGTTTCAGCTGTACTAACATACATATATATTTTCAGCGAAGATAATAATGAAGACATCCTCTTTTGTGTTTTTACCTTAAATGTTTTAAGATTTTCCTTAAGGTAGCAGTACGTCCTTCAAATGAAAACTTGCTAATTTACTTTCAAATTTTTGTCCACCACAGTGCCTGGCCCAAGAAGGCCCTCAATAAATGCTTTTTAGATGCAAGAATATCAGTCTTTTGTGGTAAAAGATTAGTTATGTGAGGGATCCAGATGTTTTATAGCTGTAGCTATTGACAATCAAGATTTCTAAAATTGTTATTGAAATATTGAAACATTTTAGTTTCTATTTTTATTTTTATTTTATTTATTTTTATTTTTGAGATGGAGTCTCACTCTGTTGCCCAGGCTGGAGTGCAGCGACGCAATCTCAGCTCACTGCAGCTTTTGCCTCCTGGGTTCAAGCAATTCTTCTGCCTTAGCCTACCGAGTTGCTGGGACTACAGGCAAGCACCACCACACCTGGCTTTTTTTTTTTTTTTTATTTTTTTTGAGATGGAGTCTTGCCCTGTTACCCAGGCTGTATTCTTAGTAGAGATGGGGTTTCACTATATTGACCAGGCTGGTCTCAAACTTCTGATCTCACGATCCACCTGCCTTGGCCTCCCAAAGTGCTGGGATTACAGGTGTGAGCCACCGTGCCCAGCCAGTTTGTATTTTTATTGTGATAGCTATTTGAATAAATGTAGTTGTAAATCACCATGTTTTCGGGGAATTACTGAATATTAAGACAATTTTGATAAAGGAGAAATTTTAGTTTCAGGGCGATTGATGCACTAATCTCTACAGAGTAGTATGTCCAAAATTCAGATACTTTTGTGGAACCTGGGTGAATTGTTTTGTTTTGTTTTGTTTTGAGTCAGGGTCTCCCTCTGTTGCTCAGGCTGGAGTGCAGTGGTGTGATCTTGGTTCCCTTCAACCTCCACTTCCCAGGCTCAAGCCGTTCTCATGTCTTAGCCACCTGAGTAGCTGGAATTACAGACATGTGCCACCATGCCCTGCTAATTTTTGTATTTTCAGTAGAGATGGGGTTTCACCATGTTGGCCAGGCTGGTCTTGAACTCCTGGGCTCAGATGATCCCACCTGTGTTTTTGTGTGTTTTTTTTTTTTTTTTTTTTTTTTTTTTTTTTTTTTTGGAGAGTTGAAGTTTCACTATGTCGCCCAGGCTAGTTTTTGTGATTTTTGACGTCTTTTTATACCATTTATATTATAATTAATTTAATATTTTTCTTTTTCTTCTTTCTTTTTTTAAAAATATTTTCTTCTCAGAAGTTTTTTTTTCCTTTTTCTTAAGTCTTTGGTGCCTTTTATGATTTATGTGTATAAATTCAAGGGTGGTAACTAACATCATAAAATAATATAGCTAATTAAGTTAAATTCAGTATATTGACTTAATGTTTCTCTTTCAATCAACTAAAGTTGTTGCTTCATTTATCCTAAAACAGTAATCTTCATGAAACAAGGGGGTTAATGGTTACTTTAATATGTACATTTATTTGTTTTTAATGTACATTAAAATCAATAAGTAATGAATAAAATAAATGTATGTACCAGTTAAAATAATCTCTTGTGCAACTACTCTCTGGGAAATACTGTTCTAGGATGTCCTAGATGGATGGTCACTCAGTCTTTACTTCATCTCAGTGAAAGTGAATTTCACTTTCTCTTGATATAACTTATTTGAATTTTAAATTGTTCTCATGATTAAGAAACTGCTTCTTGTAAGCCCAGATCTACCTTCTCTAGCAACCAACTGTTGCTCTTAGTGCCTTTCTTTGAAATGGTAAGACTAAGTCCAGCCCCTCTTGTCCAGGAAACCTCTTGAAAATAGCCATCGTGCCTCTTCAAGACTGCACTTGCCATTTCATGTCCTGTCCTCAGATGACATGATCTCTACATCTTTCATCCTCCTGGTAACCTCCTTTGATAATCCTGTCTTTCAGTGTCCCTTTCAATGTAGTATACCTAATTTATTCCAGAAATGTGATAAAGAGCTAAGCTTTATAAGATTTTACCTCCATAATCTTGAGCGCCTAGTTCTAATAATATTACGTAAAGGAGCTATCCATTGTTACTCAGCCACGTCTTAGTGTTAGGTTACTTTGAGTCCACTAGTAACACACTTCCTTCTTTTGTTATCTGAACTGCTGTTAAACCAGTTTTACATCATTTTATAATTTTGCAACTGATTCTTTTGATCTGAAGACACACTTTGGGGTTTTTTAATTTTTGAAATTTGTTTTGCATACTACTCCTCTAGTTAACCTTCCTTGTTTTCTTTCCAGATGCAATTTTTGGTAAGCATTTGTATCAGGGTGCCTTGAATGTTAGTGTAATAGAAAACACTGAAGTGGCTTCAACAGTCAGAGTTTACTGTTTCACATATTTTTCTTGGTTATGTGAAAAATAAATGAAAATAACCTTTTTAGGTGTTTGTTACAGCAGCAACCCTAATTCTTGGCACCAATTTCTGTCTCAGTCTGTTCAGGCTGCTGTAACAAAGTATTATAGACCGGGTGCCTTATGAAGAACAGAAATTTATTTCTCACTTTTCTGGAGGTTGGAAGTCCAAGGTCAGGGTGCCCACATTGTTGGGTACTGATGAGGGCCCTCTTTCAGGTCAAAGACTACTACTGTCTTTTCATTGTATCTGCAGGTGGTGGAAAGAGGACGAGAGAGGTTTTGGAAATCCCTTTTATAAGGGCACTAATCTCATTCATGAGGGCTCTACATTCATGACCAAATTACCCTCCAGAGGCCCCACCTCCTAATCATTACATTGGGGAGCTAATATTTCAATATGTGAGTTTTGTGGGGACACATTCAGTCCACAGTATATGCCAGATACTCAAAAATACTTAAAAGGATTTAAGCTCAAACAAGAGTTTTAAGGAGCTAGTAAGTATTTGTTGAATCAGTTAATAAATGAAGCTGGGTGTGGTGGCTCACACCGGTAATCCTAACACTTTGGAAGGTTGAGGCGGGCAGATCGCTTAGGCTAGGGTTTGAGACCAGCATGGTCAACATGGCGAAACCTGTCTCTACTGAAAATACAAAAATTAGCTGGGTGTGGTGGTGCACACCTGTAGTCCCATCTATTCGGTGGCTGAGGCACGAGAATCGCCTGAGCCTGGGAGGTAGAGGTTGCAGTGACTTGAGATTGTGCCACGGCACTCCAGCCTGGACAACAGAGTGAGACCCTGTCTTAAAAAAAATGTATTAAAAAGTTAATAAATGAATGAGCATAGCCAATTTCTTTTTTCTTTCTTTCTTTCTTTTTTTTCCACCAGTATGTTCAGGGAAGCTATGTTGTAAAATAGAGAGGCAATTAATGGGTCATTTTCTTCTGTGGAAGATAGTATATAATAAAGATGTATACTATGGTTTTAGTCAATCTTGGATTTGAATCCCGGCTTCGTTAAGTTACCTGTTGTGAGACCTTGGGTATATCACATATTTTTCCTAAAGTTTAGTGTTTTTATTTGCAAACTAAGTTTATTAGTAGTCTGTATCACAGGGTTGCCGTGAGTGCTTTCATTAGAACCAGCACTGAATAGATATGAGCTAGTATTATTATTTGCTCTTATTTTAATAGGGTTTGAAAAATGTAAAACAAGTTAGACCTTTTCCAGATACCCACTTTACCACTTGATGACTATATGCCCAACAGTCAATTTTCAAGTTGTTAGATGAAGTAAAAAAGAGAAATCCAAGATTTAGATATATTTTAGGCTTTGAGGAATGCAGGTCTTGGTGAAACACAGAGAAAGAAAAGCATGGACATTATCTGTGTGAAAGGCTGCTAAACTTAGCATCAAAGTAGGAATCAAATTCATCTCTGTATTGTTTAATTGATGTCTGCAGAAGTCGTTGTGTCTTTTGAGTCCCATAAAATGCCTTTGGCCTTGCCTATTCTAATGCTGCTGAATATATAATACAAAATTTTTAAAAATTCAGTGAGAAGTAGAAAAATAAGAGTGAATTGACAATTTTATTTTACTACTTTCTCAGAGCACTGTGCTACTGAGAGTGGAAGTGACTTTAAAAATGACATAAATCAATGTAGTATATTAATTTTTAATTTTCACACTGAGTTTGCTTATTACAATTTAAAATATATTTAACATTTCTTCTCATTGTCAGATAGCAAGGTTTATCAATTTGCTGAATTTTTGTAGCATATTTGATCCATTAAGGTTTTTGAGCATTGCTTATAAAAACTTATTTTTTATGTAAGTATGCAACTATTTATTATTCTGTTATGGAGGAAATGTATTTGCTTATTCATTTTAAGAGTTAAAATCTTGTTTACTTTTTAAAAATGAATCAATTATTTACTTTTTGATAATGATAGAAGCTGAGAAGTCACTGTTTTCACCTTGTTATAAAGAAATACCTGAGAGTGGGTGATTTATAAAGAGGAGGTTTGAT